CGTTTCGTTCTGAAGGGTAGGGCAGCCGTTGTAACTATACTGAGATCTTAGAACTTATATCTCAAGGTGGGTGACGCATTTACGTTGTAGATGTCTATGGGCCCCAGTAACCACTTAACACCAGGTGGGCTGTGAGCTCGTTCGCCCATCTAAGCAATAAAAATAAAAAAATTTTTTAGATATATTCATGGCCTTATTAAGTTTCAACGTAATTACAAACATTATTATCATTCACCAGATTAAGCTCGCGTTAATATGTAGAATGTGTTGTTATAATTACGTTGATAGAACCCTATCTTAATCTGTCAAAAAATTTACTGTTACAACTCCAAGGCTCCGCGTATTACTTGGCAGATATTGTGTAACAAATTGCTATTCCCATGAAACTATTTGCAGTTTTTGCCTTAACATAAATAGCTCATGGCATAGTAGCTCTCCATTGTCAATTATCTTGATATGTGGGTTAAGTCACAGCAATTTATAGCTTCACAAAGTACGGATAAATGTTGTCCTCTAAAATTATCTTGTTGGCATTTTTCTTATTCAATTAAAATACGAACCAGGGTCGAACTCAACAAAGGAATATCTTTTCATCAGATAAATGATTAACGTCTTTCCCAAAAGTTATATATTATATTATAGTGTGGCTACTTTCGATGCTACTCTGATGATTATCGTTTGTATGACCGTAATGTTGTATCGTTGAATTGGCATTGATCATAACTGAGGAGCTGATGCAACCTTGCCTCAACGAGGTTCAGAAACAATAGTATAAAACAAACTATGGAATGGACCTTTACAAAACAAAACGTGGGCATGGCTCCTCGAATCGGTTAACGAGACAAAGCGTTTGCGATTGCGATTGCGACTACGAACGGAACAAATATCCATAGTGACAACGTTCTTTGCTTCAGCGATACGACTGTGACAAAGAGCTCTATGCGAGCTGAACGCAATCCGCTACCACTGCACAATGTGTGGGACCATGAACCACATTCGCTTCGTTAATAATAGTATAATACCAAACTTTTGACAGATTGTTTCGACCGAAACGCCGACGGCCACAACAAAAAAAAAAAAATCAATCGATGACTCACTCATCGTCACATTTCTATAATTCGTTTATGCAATCGCATTTATAAGCTGTGATATATTTACAAATATGTATGTCAATATTTTTTTATTTTTTTTATTGCTTAGATGGGTGGACGAGCTCACAGTACCACCTGGTGTTAAGTGGTTACTGGAGCCCATAGACATCTACGACGTAAATGCGCCACCCACCTTGAGATATAAGTTCTAAGGTCTCAAGTATAGTTACAACGGCTGCCCCACCCTTCAAAGCGAAACGCATTACTGCTTCACGGCAGAAATAGGCAGGGTGGTGGTACCTACCCGTGCGGACTCACAAGAGGTCCTACCACCATTAAAACGTAAAGTAAAATTTCAAAACTCTATTCTTCTTTTCATTTCTTTTTGATGCTTTATCTTGTTACCGCCAGCAAGAGTAATTAGTCAGCGCATATACCTGAAACACTGTTGTTGTTAATTTCAAAACAGCTCGAGAATTACTCGAAGTTTTACGAACATAATAATAATAATGTTGAGTGATTAAAGTTACATTACGAGAAAAACAGCGCACAATACGGTCGTCTTACTGCTTTTCAGAAGCATTACATCAGACTTTAGATTGAGTGTGATCGAACGGTCAACGCCACCACTCAAATCAGATCACAGTTACTATTTGCTATCGGGCGGGACTTTACCATCAAAACATTCGAATTGCGGCACCTGGTACATTACGAGCAATGCGGCCCTGGAGAAATTCATGAATACACAAGAAAAAAGATAGTGCAGTTTATAATGTAGGTACGAGGCAGCATGAAAATGAGGATAAAGAACGACAATATCTGAAAAAAATCCTTTTTTTTTTCGAAGCCGTCGTATCGTTTCGAAGTCGTCGTGGCCTAAAGGATAAGACCTCCGGTGCATTCATACCTAGCGATGCAACGGTTTTCGAATGCCGCAGACGGGTACCAATTCTTCTAATTAAATACTTACTTAAAAAATGTTCACGATTGACTTCGACAGTGAAGACATCGTGTAATAAAAATCGAAAACCCGCAAAATTATAATTAACGTAATTACTGGTAGTAGAACCTCTTGTCAGTCCGCACGGGTAGGTACCACCACCCCGCCTATTTCTGCCGTGAAGCAGTAATGCGTTTCTGTTTGAAGAGTTGGGCAGCCGTTGTAACTATACTGAGACCTTAGAATTCATATCTCAAGGTGGGTGGCAACATTTACGTTGTAAATGTCTATGGGCTCCAGTAACCACATAACACCATGTGGGCTGTGAGCTCGTCCACCCATATAAAAATAAAAATAAAAGCCTGAAAAACTTAGAATGACAAATAATTGCCCCGGTAATAGTTCATCAAGGTGGAAAATCAGTGTGAGGTGGAATATAAATTTGAGTTAGAACGCCTTTTTTCCATTTCAAGGTTCCGTAAGCGCAAATTTGTATAAAACGGACGCTATTAACGGAATTGTCAGTCCATTTAGAACAATATACAGTCACCGATTCGTCGATGATACTTCACATAGACCTGAATAAGTAATCCCCGTTGTCAGAATACAGTTCCATCATTAGACCGACCAGCCAGCTCACTTAAATCCAATCGAACTCATGACATTGTCTTAAGTAAGCTGTTTGGAAATTTTAGCTACCCCTACATACCCTGTAAGACATCAGCGAAGTCGCTGTTCAAGAATGTAAGAAGTTTGAAGTACTTGAATAGCTTAATCTTCAGCTAACCTAGGAATATTCCGCGTGTCTTATTAATATTAAAAAAAATATTTGTTTCTTATATTAATAAAAGAAATACTTTTTACAGTAAATTATTCATTTTGGATAAATAGTTCTTCTGATTTTTTGTCTGCTTTATTTGACAGTTAGACAGTTAGGTTTCTTTGTTTAAAATGAATTCTACTATAAACAATATTCATTTTAAGCTTTCCAAGTGAATGCAAATTTTAATAATCTGGGTGTGCGGTGTGGCAAGATCGATTCAAATTTTAAATATATCTCGTTTTGCACAAGTTTGCCTCATAAATTATTCGAGTCAGTATACCGAGTACTTATGGCCACTAAACATATTAGTCCTGTTTACTAAATATATTTACCGATTTGGGCAACGACAGTCTAATTTATTAAAATGGGAACGGCACCTGTTTCACGTTAAATATTCAATTGATTTCATACTGAGAATTATTTACGGGCGTCAACAGAATGCAGAACGATTATTAAGTTCTGGAACTAAATTTCGCAAATACGATCGTCGCACGAGAAGGCTATTGCAAACACCTGCAATACCACATTTCATAGCAGCGGTACAATGACGTCGGGAAGAAATCGATTCGCTTAGGACCGGTCAACGGTAGATCGAAATGTAAACACTGTGGACCGCCCCACTTTATCGATATTGCGATTTAAATACAGATTTGCATAATACCGATTTAAAAGGCAAGCTAGACAGGCACGCAGTCGAACTAAGTAGATTTTTTTTAATTTTTCCATCAACATGAATAGAGCTATAAATGACATAAGTTTTTCTAGCTTATTCTGTAATACGACCACAGCGCTGATTTTCGTATTTCAGTCACGAAGCTACACATATGGCGGACCTTCTCAACATCAATGTTGTACGCAGTTACATAATTATTGTACTTAAGATTAAACTACCTTGATCCGAATATTTCTTACCAAGTGGGTCCCTCTAAGGTCTAAACAGTTAAACACTAATTACATACCTGTGTCAATGTGAGAGGTTTTAACTAAAGCGTAGGTAAGCGGCGAGCAATGTAATCAGAGTGGTTGGGTTTCGAAATAAATGCACTAGCATTTCTAATAGTCTGCGCAGGTATTATCTACTTTATATATCTTAGAATGTCCGTTCGTCCGGCCCAATTCCAAATCTGCTCGAGTGGTTTGAATTAATACCTCGACAGCTTTATGTTTAGTTCATACTTAATATGAATTCAGAATTGTATGTGGTTCATATCTTGAATTTTAGGGGCTGGGCAAACGATTTTCAGACAGTTTTCGATCCTTTTGTGTTATTCTGAAGCCCTGTACGATTGATCTCCAAATGCAAACTCGCAAGAAGTCTGGAATACCTATATGGAAATAATAGTCTACCTATATAGATCTGGGTTCAGGCAGCCATTGCCCAAAATGTTTATTCTTGTTCTTGTCAAGCGATCACACTCACAAAGTATAATGCATAGATTCCACCTCCAAATTTTTTGCTTCTTAAACGTCGTATTAAACAATAGAATTAAGAGACCATAACTTATTTATATAGGATTTTAAAGTTATACAATCGAATTTGAATATAATGTTGTTTTTACAAAATAGATGATTTTGCTTGCTTCGTTTACATGGCTGGTCTAGAGAACAAAGCCTGAGCTATCCACTGCTAGGTTATTATGTACAATACACAAACCTAGGTCGTTCGTTTTAAGTATTATATTCAGTTCATTGCATAACGACTCTCGTCAACATGTCATTTTCACATTTCTACGAAGCTCAGATGAGGAACTAACAAAAACTAAACGGTCCCCGCCGTCATTGTCGTCATGGTTAATGTTTGCTTATGTTGTACAAATAACACACGAAAATACTTACGTGTTTCGGTAATGTCATAAATGTTTAATGACTTAACAATGGTTTTATTGCATTTTCTATATAATAACGAAAATGAAAGTACAAACAAACAATCATGATTTAGAGCGTATGTAAAGTTTACGACAGTTAATTACACACTATCTTCAAACTACAAGAAACGTTAGTTACGGAGTCAAATTTTATAATAATTATAAACCATTCGTTCATTTACTATTCATAGTTATTTCTTTTAGTAATTTCTGTTTTAGAACAAATGTGCAATCTTCTGTTATGTACATAAATTAACAATTACTATTTTTACTTGTTTCAGAGAACAGTACATCTTCAACGTTTTCGAAGTGATAGTGAGCACATTAGAAACTAAGCTACAAAGAATAGAGAATCTAGATAAAGCAGTGGAACATCTCATGAGACGAGTTGAAGCTTTAGATTCGAGAGTTAATGACAACATTCTGAAAACTGATGCAATAATATCAAAATTAGGAAATCTTGATTTGAAACTATTTAGTCATATCGGACAGGAACAAGAGGAAGGATTCACAGAAAATACTACGAACAAACGCAACGAAAAGAAAATAAGTGACGCTCAGCTGCTTGACCGGAAACTAGAATCACTGGATCAAAAAGTTTCTGACATAGATACCAAGCTCGTCGGACTCAAAAATCAAATAGATAACAACTTCTTACCCGTCGATGACATCAACGCAGAGGCAAGTGAGAGAAAACCGATAAACTTAAACGTAATCGAAATCGCCAAAGGCCTAAACACAGAAGTTGTGAACGAGATAACCAAGGAAGTCGATCAACTAAGATCATCGGTATCAACTGTTGATCGCAAATTGCAATTCCACATCAACCTCGTTTCTGAAAACTTAGGTAAAGTACTTTATATGATGGCAGATGTGCACGCAGCAATAGTTGAGCCTGAAGCTGCATCAATAAACGTTAACAGCTTGTTTAAAAACAGAACAGCGAGTAGCACCCCCTCGCCGGTCACTAAAAGCAGTAAGATCGATACGCTTGTCAATAAAATAATACCGATGATGAGTGTCTCCGAAAAAATGGACGAAGTTTGGGATGTGGTGGTTGGAACGAAGAGCTCTGTTGATGATTTGGTACCGAAATCAGACGAACTACTCACGCAAACCCAACGACAAGAAAGGGCTATAGGACAGATACATAACGATTTGAGAGTTAAAACCAATCTTATAATAGAAAACCTAGACATGGTAGAAAAACGTTTAAAAAAACAAGAAGATGATGTAGCAACCCTAGCTCAACGCCCAGTCCCTGCCGAATTGTTGCTGGATCCGACCATAGACCGACTAGTGGAATATGCACCGAACAGATACAGGGTGGAAGAACCCTCCACGGATCCCACAACGATCACAGTCTCCGCGACGACTATGCCGCCCTTCTCTACAATCAATAACAGGTGACATCTAATCGAATACCTTACAATGCTATTGCGATGGTTTATTTATTTACTATTTTGCGTATGCTCTGTGCATCAAGCGAAATTCTGTTTCGGTATACTGTTCTTTTGTTATGTTGTTATTATAAGGCACCCTTATACTGTCCAATATGTATTTACTGCCTAATAGTAGTATGATAATAATAGTAGTATGAACCTACTAATAATAGTATGATACTAATGGTTGTATCGCACGCAGCCCGAGCAGTCCGAGTGGCTCTAGCACGAGTCCCAGTGCCACTTCGACCCCGGCCAGCACAGGCGCCGCCACAACCGTCCCTATCGGCGGCAGTACCACGCCGCGGCTCGCAACGCGCAAAGGAGGCATTATCTTCCCCAGTGTCAAGAATAAACCCATCATCGGCAATAACACTTTCGCTTCGGAGATCGTTGCCAACTATAAAGACGTGAAAGTGAGTCTATAGTTATATAAAATATTATCTACAACTAATTATTATGAGCGCACCTATCAGGTGTGGTTGAAGTGAATTTAAAACAATTAGTTATATGAGTTGACGAAGAAATGACATAATCAATGTAGCAACTTCCGGAAACAAATTTTATAAGATCTTCAATTTAGGTACTGTTAAATTAAATGTTTCTAACAAAATGATATTCAAACAACCGAATTGCTCAAGTTTGCCCTACAGTACCTGCGTATGTTGAAACACCGTTGAATTAGACTATTTCCATGCATTAAACAGAATTTACTAGACAAGAAGCAAGTTAGCGTTTAGTTTCGTAATTAATGCTTAAGAAACTTGTGACCAGCGAGCGAGTTAAGAAAAGAACTAATCAAACAAGGACTCGCATTTATCAGTTTGTACACAATTTGCAGAATTGATCGCGTACATCGACAAAAATACTTGCATACTGTATACACAATATACATTGATTGTTATCAAGGACATTGATGGATATAATAAAGTTAAAATCGGATTATAAAATTCGAGCCCGATATTGCAAAATCAAACAATCACTAAAACAACATTCTGCCGCTTAAGTTTCAATAAGTCTTTTTTCACAATCAATTTTTTTAATAAAATTACATATATTTTTATTATGATACTTATTACGTAAACATATTTCAGTAGCAATGCAGGTACTTAATATTTTATTGACACAGCGAGTTTTCCGCGGCATTGTATCTGCCCGCGTAAAAACGGCCCATTCCCACAGACTACATCGCATTATTGTCTTAAGAGTTCGAAAACCCGGCGGTTATGTCGAGCGACATTATGTAACGTTATAAAACTCGTTTACCTATCTCAAACACCTGTTTGTAAAAACGTTCCAAATCCATAAGTTCGGAGCGGCTCGCTTTTCTTATAGTTTTGTACTGATTTATTTGCTTTTAAACACACTTACGGTTACATTGGAACCTTTTTGAAGTTATACTTCTTTAGGCGCGTTATGAAAAATTGATGAGAGTGATATTTTAAGTACGACGCGCGCGCACCGTGACACAAAATTAACACAATGAAGTTGCCCACTAAATCGCTCATTACAATACGACCGACGTAACTTGGCGAGTCTGAATATAGCCGCAGGTGAACTTTCCGAACCGTACCGAGAATTACCGAATTTATACGATGTCAAGAAAAGGGATGTCCTATATGCGTGTTTGAGGATGTTGTTTAATCGATTTTTTTTCAAATTGATTAAAATTTAAATAAAATAAAAAAGAAATAAATTTAATAAAAATAAAGTATAACTTCTTACGCGCGTACATAAGTAGGTACACGCACCCTTTTTTTTTGTATTTATTATAAATAAGCCTTTGATATCTTTATTTATTAATAAACTAATGTCGGATCAGATACATAGTGCTTGTTGCCGTTTCACTATGGAATTATAATCAAAACTTTTCATAAATTTTAACGGACGAAATCGAAAGCGATAATACAGCGAAAGTCCTCGGGCATTTTTATTCAGAGCGAACGCCCTGCGATGACGTAATATGGTTAACTGTTCCTATTGCGTAATAATATCGTTACACTCATAATAACAGGTTTTTTGTAACCTAGTAATAATAGATACTGCGGTACACGTTACACTGTTGCAGAGCACGTATGTATACGTTTAGCAGTATACAGGAGGAAAGGAAAAGAAAAAAACAGACATTCTACATTTATTTATGATATATTTTGACTGTTGAAAATTGTTGAAACTACTGCTGCGAAACATATTCAAAATTTACAAAAAAAATGCAGAAAGGTGTAACATAAAAGTTGGCTGCACTTCCACTTCTGTATCACGTTTGTTTTCAATTATTTTTACGCACGAGTTATTTAATTTTTAAAGAAATTGTTTTCTTTTAATTATTGTTTTTTTTTAACTAAATATATATATCACTTTTTTTTCCTACCTAAGCTGAAAGGAAAAAGAAATGATATATATTTAGTTAAAAAAAACATATCACGAAGTTTAATAAAATTTATGGAAGCTGTTAAACCTTTCTGTTAAACATATCTACATAATATCCGTATTTTACAAAACATCTAAGGTCAAGAGGATATTATTAATTATTACTAATAGTAAATTTCTAATGAATTACACAAAGTACGTATAATAAGTTAAAAATATTTTACTTTTTTGAATAATTACAACGATACTACTTCTAAATCTACATACACAGATATATTTGGTAAAAATATTACTTATGGCCTATTGGTTTAAAAAAAGGATATTTTTTTTCTGTATTTGATATAATGTGATATAATCTACTTAATAAACGTTCTTGTTATAAACGAACAGTGAACTGAGAAAGTGTTATTGACGCGCAAAGTTGAAAGTTGAATGAGACTTAGAGAGATTAAGAGAGAAGAGAGATATTTTTCATAATTATTCGTCTATGCAGTGTGTGTTCTATGAGTACTATGTTCCGTGTCACAAATGCGTAGAAGTGTGCCCGTTTGACAAATGGAAAGCTCGCGGTTTTCTCAAACATATTGCGTCACGCTCCTCCTCTAAAGAAAGAATAATTATTTTCCGCGCAAAACAAAACAATCGTCGTTGACACGCACCGATACATTTGGTTACGGTAAAATTGTATAGGAACACGCACTATAGGTATATTAATGGTCTGTCCACGAAGCGGTGACGTTTTAATGCACTAATTGGCATTCATACAGGCACTTAGAATTGTAGAAATAAATTTTCAATGTTACTTAAACGTTCTAAGGTTCTCATTGATCGTCTGCCGCGAGCAAGCACTGTTTCTGCTTCGGTTATATTTGATACGTATTAAGCAATACTTTTACAAGATCGCTAACCTTGAATCCGTTTATTGACTGATATTTTGTGTTTATAAAAATTATTGCCTATGACTAATTGTAAGCAATCGATTTCTCAATTGTGTCCGTCTCAACAAACAAACACACGTTAGACTAGATAGAATGTTATTAAAGACGCGTTAAAAATGATCTATTTGTATTTAAGTAAATGTTTTAGCTATTACGTAACAGGCCCTTGATAAAAAAAATATTCGATAGTACATATAAGCGAATATATAATATATCAATAAAGCAATAAAAGCGATCAGTCACCTTTAGAACAGGGCGACATGATTTCAAAAGGAAAGAAAGCAACGAGCACGTTGCACAACAATAATAAGGTATTTTCCAATCGTGTCAAAAAAAAACAAATCTGTGACGTAAGAATATTTATATAACATGATTTTAATTTTATTTTAGTGTAGTGTTTTTATTAATTAATATTTATATTAAATAATAAATAATTCAATAGTTATATTAAATGAATCGTAAGTATAAAGCCGAGAGGAATGCATGAACAAAATTACTATTGTCGTAATATTTGGATATTTTATTCTGAGAAAACTCACTACACACCTACTAGCTTAAAACTCATTCTGCTTTTAAATATAGAACACGGACGTTTAATTGATATTATATTCTCTTCTTTTAAAACTTATTTATAGCAGAATATTAATTTGATCTCTAGTAAAAAAGTTGTTACTATTTTTAATGATAAGAGGACGATAAAATTACGTCTAACATATGAGTTGACTATTATCAAAGCCGGCAATGTGACTTTTGGACAATTATTGGTAAATCAGAAAAACGAATTATTGACTTTGTATTCCATTGGCAGTCACAAAACTCTTCTGAACGACATCTTAGATAAATAACAGGTTAAGTATTAACCTTTATTTAAATAAATTAAATGCAAATAATAAAAAAAAAAAAAAAATGCATTAATGCAGGTTTTGAACCGTATTCTTTGAAGGAGACGATTATATTCAAATCAATCTGTATTGACATATCAATAATTTTTTTTTGTCCAAATGCACAGATTGCCACCTTTGATAATAGACGACTCATATCTACGACGCACGGAAACTTAAGATACTATAAATGGGACTTATATTTATTTAATTTTACTATGATCTATGAAACTCTCTACATAAAACTCTAGTAAAAAATAATTCTAGTTGCTTCTACTTAGTACTTAATTTCTAGCAACGCATACATAAAAGTAAACTTAATCTCCTCTATTTCAAACCAGATTATAAACTTTTTGTTGCGTCTGTAAAAACTAAGTCCAAAAGTACTTACTTAAATACTAGTTACTGTTTTTGGGCGTACCTTACATAAGTACTCCCATTTCAGTGCAATTCCAGTCGGTATTGTTGTGCATTCCAGTTTAAGCTTGTTTGTATATATTATGTATATATAAGATTGTAAAAAAATGTGCGACTGTGCGGTTTATTTTACGTAGTGTCTTCACGTCAATTTCGGACGCATTGCGAATTGTCTTAACTTATAACAGAAGCTAAGCGAATGTTTCAAATTATAATAACACATTTCTGTGACTCCAAGTCTCTCTGTAATATTGAATTCAGATAGGTATTCCATTATTTAAAAAGTCATGTGATCAGAAGTTACGGAGTCACATTTTTCGTTATTATTTTACTATTTTAGTACATAACATCTATCCCGCATCAATATTCCATTTATTATGTATTTAAATTATATATTTGAAAGTGTTGTGCTTTACGGAACTATAATAGTTTACTACACTATACTCGTTATTACATACGTATTATGGCAAAAAGACCTTTTTGTATGTAAATTCAATAACAAATACTTTTAAACAGTTATTATGACTAAACAATTACATAAGTTTTCTAATAATAATTTTATTATTATATTATATTATAATTTTATTATTAGACAAAAGCTCTATACTAGATTTTAATACGCCGTTGCTTTATTCAATTTCATACAATGGTCATAGAGCATTTGATAAATTAATTACCGACATTATTATAATTTTATTTCAGGTACTGCGCTCTTTTCATACATCAAAAACATACAAATTGTTGCCATCAAAATTACTAACCTAATTTAAACATAGTTTATTTAACATCAACTACAATTATTATATTTAAAGTTACAAAAACTACGAAATTTTCTAAATTCCTTACTTTTTAAAACGCAGCGAATTGAATAATAATTGTTTTTATTTTTCTTATAAATAATCTTTGTTTTTTTTCATTATCAACAGGGCTATTCGTGCGTAGATCTTCTTAACGCCGGCATGAGAGAATCAGGAGTTTATTACTTACAAATCAGGGGCACAACATATTGGTTCCTGAAAGTATTTTGTGAGCAAAATGTTGCCGACGGAGGTTGGACTGTGAGTTTCAATTGAATCATTTAACACGACTTATTTACGATAATATCAAATAATGATGACTATATAGCATGTTAAAGAATGTAATTTTCGAATATTTTAGAGCACAGATACATTGTTATGTGAACTCTGTTTGCTCTATTATCTATTTTTTTGTCTTTTATTATTGAAATATCGAACGAATTGTGCTAGGTAATACATCGTCGTGACGATTACGGTCAGCCAGCGGAGAATTTTAATCGTGATTGGAGCGATTATAAGAACGGCTTCGGTGACCCGAGCAAAGAGTTTTGGCTCGGCAACGAAAACATCTACATGCTGACCAACAATGACGACTACATGCTCAGAGTCGAACTTGAAGACTTCGATGGAAACAAAAGGTAATATTTTAGACTAGCGACTTGCCCTCGCTTCGCTTCGGAAACATTAAATTTCATTATTAATATCTGTCTCGCGATGTTACCCGCGGTTATTGTCGTACTGCGGGTGACGCCGCGGGGTGAAGCTAGTCTAAAAAAAAGTAGCCCAAGTTACTCCTTATATCATCAGCTATAAGTGAAAGTCTCGTCAAAATCGGTCCAGCCGTTCCAGAGATTAGACGGAACAAACCACGGAATAGATAAATAAGGTTGGAAAGGCCTTTGCTCTAACTTTGTATTAGAACCAGTGTCGCCGCTTCATCCCCACTATTTTAATTTCTACACATACACACACTGTGATTACAAGTATTTCGCACACAACAGAAACACCCACACATAAATCTCAGGACAGATATTCGTTCGCAAACTAGCACAAAACACCCGTAGGCATACACACTCACACACGCAAAAAGGCAATAAAAATGTTCATACACGCTAGTGCTTGATAAAATCGATATTCTTTATCGATAAATTATCTGATGAATGAATGGAGAAAATGAAACATGAAATAAATATTGAAAAAAAAAACTATTTTACTTTTATTAATTACAAATAGTCACTGTCGCTGGAATAAAACGTATTTGTTAAGCAGTTGGCGCTTGCTATTAATTGCGAATGAATTTTTCAAAACTAAGTGTATTCTGATTTTTTTTATGATAAAATCATTTTCAGTAAAATGTTTAGAGCAAATAGTACTCGTCTTTGTCTCCAGTTTCCTCTACCTGTCACGTCAATCCATTGTTCCCTGGCGTTAGGTTCTTTAGGAAACCTAAAATTTTTAATTTACTGCATAAGTCAAATAGCATTTTACTTAGATTTTAATACGTCTTAGACAATATAGTAAATACCCGTAAATTAGAGGTCTACATGTCCCTTTATATTATACCTTCACTTTAATTCAATGATAATAATTCAATAATAATAATACATATTTATTTTACTCAAAATACGTCTCACTAAGAATATACTAGGTATCATTAATTAAATATAAAATAATGCAAAAATTATCCATGTCAAATGTAAATATAGTCGAGAATTCTGTCGATGATTTTATTTCACCACATGGTCACCTCACTATCGACAAACTGCACCACGGCCAATCAGGGCAAAGGCCGAAATTTCAAAGATTGAAGTGTAGAGAACGCAATGCATGTAGTACATTGGAAGCTGACTTGGTCATTGCGTTCATTGGGCGAGTACACATCGCGCAATGTATGCTATTTATAACTTGCTGCAATAATATTGTTAATGTTTGGAATTTCATAATGCTCAGTATATTTTTATGTTTTAGACCAATAATATTGTAATTAAATGGTAATTTCGACTTACCGATCGAAAGATATACCTCCTCGCTCTATACTTGAGGTCTGATTTTTTGTTTTACAAGTTATAATTGCACAACACGGCACTATAAAGCGGAGATCTGTTCGCCCAAATATTCCGAAGCGCACTAAACGCGGTGAATGAAAGAAACGGTCGAGTTATGTTTGTTCGATCATAACAGTGGCACGCTTGCCCCGCCTACATTACCATTCCAACCTTATTTATCTATTCCGTGGAACAAACAGACAGTCAGACAGACAAAAATTGTATAAAAAAAATTATTTTGGTGTACGTACCGTATATATATTCATATGTATGTAGTAAAAAGCAGTTATTTCAATATTACAAACAGACACTCCAATTTTATTTATATGTATAGGTAATAGTTAGTATTTTTTATTTATAATTTTTTTACCTAATCGTTTTTTATTGCACAGATACGCACAGTATTCGCACTTCAAGATATATTCCGAAGCGGAATACTACAAACTGGAGATTGAAGGGTACGAGGGTACAGCAGGTGACTCTCTCAACGATCCATGGTATGGGTCTAACAACAGCCCCTTCTCCACTTATAACAGGTAAATGTAGTTTTATAAAACTAAAAAGTACACGATTAAATAGCAAACCGAACTAAAATTTTCAATAAACTTTCCTTGTCCTTGTGATCTTGGCATTAGGCCAACTATAATAGAATTACTAAATTTCGTCATCGGTCCATGATATATGTGAAAATTTTCAAATTACTCGGGCGTCTTGAAGTCGATTAAAGTTATGATTCAAGATCCCGTTATTTAAATAGGATATAAACTAACAAAACCGTGTTAATATCTTCAAGTGAAACGAAGATAATTTACCAGTAACGATCCACCTAAAAATATGTACTTTATCCCAAGTTCATCTATACGCTTGACTTAAAACCAACATCTAATTAGCTTTAGCCTTTATGGAGATTAATGTGCCCTAACGTAAACACAAAAGTAACATTCAATGTTCATAATATTGATAATAGAATTAAAAACTCCATTTAGAGATGTGACATTGAGTTGCATTTTACATTAATACAAATTTGAATGGACGCATTCCAGAGACAACGATAGATCTTCGCTGAACTGCGCTTCAATGTTGAAGGGAGGTTGGTGGTGGAAGTCATGCGGTCGCGGCCTCAATGGGTTGTACTTGCATGATCCACAGGATCTTACCGCCAGACAAGGTATGACGTTATAAGAATTTGTTGAGTTTTAGATTATAGAGGATAACCGTAAACTAAATAGCTACCTACATATTCATGGATGCAACAAAAATTTCAAATTCCAACAACATTTTCAAATTCCATTCTAACGTTCGAAACCTCACAGATCACACAAGTTTCATAGATAACCCTACCATTATTTAACCGTTCATGGATAATAAATAATACGCAGTGTTTTAGCTTGAAGAGCAAATATATAAGTCTCTGTAATTTCAGGCATAGTATGGTTCCGCTGGAGAGGTTGGGACTACACCTTGAAGAGAGCGTCCATGATGATCAAGCCCAAAGGCCTGCAGCCTAACACGTGAAGCACGCTGTTGAATTCAGTATTTTCTAGGATTTTCGCGAACTGTAGGCATTATCAAAAACAGTTTTACGTTTTAACTTTTTATATCTACAAACATGATGCACAGCAGATACGTAAAGCATAAAAATATTATTGTTTATATTATTATACTTACGAAGCTGCTAGTACAATAACAGTAATATCTTCAGATGCCGGGCGTTTGGTAGATGTGTTTACTCATCTGCTATATACGATGCCCGTGGATCTGAATATAACTCTAATCTCGTGTCTATTTCATTCATTTTTTTTTTAAGTTTCAATTGCTGAAATATATTCCGTTTTCGCTACCGATGTCCACAGACTATACATAGCCAGACGCGAGATTAAAACTGAAGTATTTTTAATGACCGCGCCGATAACGTTTAAATTCAACCGGTCATTTCGAATTAACTGGATTCGAATATAATCCTGCAGCTTACTTTAATATAATAAAATTGTGTATGTTAGTAATTACAAGAAAATGACATTAAACTGTTATTATAATATTGAAAATGCTTAAATTTTATACATTTTTTTATTACTAAGAATCCGTGTAATAAAACTGGCGTTGCCATCGCAACCCCACAAACATTTAGTATCCATCACTGTAAATATATTTCTTCACTAATCATTCTATTCGCTATACTTTTATCTTCGTATTCGATATTTGTAAATAACGAGACGCTAGAATATTCTATCAACGTGCCACATCAAAACGCAAATTTCATTAATTTATTATTCATTAAAACTTCGAAACATGATTGTATTTCGTTAATTAGGTTTATAATTTAGATTATAAGTTAAAAAATTGTATTAAGATGTAAATAATAAACTTCACGAGCGATATCAGCTCAAAATGAAAAGACATTTTGTATCGATTAGAAATTGGTGTGAAGGGAATGCTACCATTTAATATGTTGTACATGACACGAGAAGAACAAACAATTCGATATAAATGCTAGTTTAGAGTACATATGTAAGATTATAATTTAGTGTATCTCTACTACTTCAAACAAAGTACATTGATATTTTGTAAAACATTTACACTTTCCTACAAATATTTATTAACACAAACACATCAAATGTACAAGTTTTAAATATTTATTAAACGTATTTTTATATATATAAATATACATTTTCGTCATTTATTTGTATTATAATATTATTTATATTTTTTCAAGCACTCTCCAATAATATTTTGCTGTTACTCTATCTTTTTTTTTTTCATTATGTTTCCTGATGTGTCTGTGTTCAGTAAGCTACACAAATATTGATAAGATATTAAATCTACATAATAAATAATTGTATTGTTTTATTTTAATGTCAATTACAAATTAAAATAGTGAATTATTCTCAAAATATTTAAATTCATTGTCACAATTATTTAAATCCTCATTAAATTTTAATATTATTATTTTTCAACACGATCACAAATACACAAATTTACAAATCATCAGATTTTTCGAAATCATTATACTCTTTCAAATCTACGTCAAGGGAATCGGTCGAGTCTTGCGGTTGGAGCATCAAATCATCTTGCACGCTTTCGAGTAATTGCTGCGCGCGCTCTGAAACCTCAACGTCCTGCATTTCCACTAAGTTTTCAACTTCGGGTTGTAAGTCTGGATTTTCAGTGTACACAGATTCTAAGTCGGGTAAAGTTAAATCTAAATCGTCAGTGAACGGAAGCACGCGTGGCGACGCTGGTCGCGACACGCGTCGCGGGCTCCGGGTGGGTGGTTCCACCTTCGGCCCGCGGGAATGCTCGTGTTATACTTTCATTTTCTTGTGACTCCGCTTGGTGGCGCGCTCCTTGGCCTTCTCCAGCAGGGGCATCAGCTTCTTCTCCTTAGCCAGTATTTGAAGCAAATTAATGATGAACGGCATGTAATTGTGACGCCTGCGTACCAACTCCTGTTTGTACTTTGCCATCTTTATTTCCTCATAATCAATCAACATTCTCAGTCTCGCTATTTCTGTATCGAGAGCATCGGTTTCCATACCCAGCAACTGTGTTTCATTAAGAAGTGTATCAAGCTGACGTTGATATATCATTTTACGATCTGATACGAGGGCCATCAAGTTGAAGTGAATTTCTCCTTCGGTGTATCTATGAACAAATAATTTTTTTTAGTGTCTAAAGTACACAAAACTACTCACTAAGCACACTAACGTACTCAATGCAGTAAGCTATTTGCAACTTACACATTAATCCTTCTCATTATAATTGGACGGACAACATCGAGCCAATCTTGTTCCGGAGCAACTGCACCATGATCAATCGGACCTTCTTGTAGCCCATCCAGTTCGTAAAGACGGCCATCAATTGGCATATATCCTATGAAATGATAGGCGTCTTCATCCTGTAAAACAAAATTTATTGATCAGTAGGTAGTAGATTAATGTATAAGTATATTTTGAAACTAATATAAATTACAGCTCCATTAAATAAATTGTAATACTTTTTAAATTACTTTAATTACTTTTAAAAGTGAAGACTAATTACTTTTACTGGTGGTAGGACCTCTTGTGAGTCCGCACGAGTGGGTACCAACCACCCTGCCTATTTCTGCCGTGAAGTAGTAATGCGTTTCGGTTTGAAGGGTAGGGCAGCCGTTGTAACTATACTTGAGACCTTAGAACTTATATATCTCAAGGTGGGTGGCGCATTTGCATCGTGGATGTCTATGGGCTCCACCATAACCACTTAACACCAGGTGGGCTGTGAACTCGTCCACCCATCTAAGCAATAAAAAAATAAAATAAAAAAAATTGTAAAAAATTACATATAATATTGTTTTATAGTAATTAACATACTTTGGCAGGCATTTTAGGATCTACTTCAAAGAGAGGCTGTTGAGCCATTGAGTTGTGTGCGCTGCGTATAGTCTGTGAGTTGCTTAACGAGAGACCTCTCATGCGCGAGTCGAATGTCATGCTGAATTCTTTCAGTTTGGTCAATTCAGGACCAAGTTCCAAATCTGGGTGTTTGCAATTTAACAGGAGACTGATTACAGCTTGAGTTGCGCAGGCATTATTGATAACCTAAACCAAGAAAAAATGTTTTAGCATATAAATTAAATTATTTCTTTGAACTGCAATAACTACAAGATTTTTTTTGCAAAATAACAGTAATAATTATGCAGGAAGTCAGGCATTACAAGATGGATTCTGCTATTAACCCTGGGATTTTATATAGAAATATTAGTTGCAGATCATTCAGTCTTATTATATATTAGAGAATCTCAGTGGTGTAGATTGGGAGAGACCTATGTCCAGCAGTGGACGACTGTGGGCTGTTGATGATGATGATGATGATGATGATGATGAAGATTGAAATAGGCAGAATCATGGTAACATTGAATCCCTACTTAATGTTACCACTGTTTCTGAATCCCTAAATCCCCATTCAAAATAAACCCAATTATTTGTATTTAAGATATACATTAGAGATAGAGGAAGTTAAATAAGGAAAAAACTATGAAAATAATAAAAAATATAACTATGTGTTAAGGTGAAGGTGATAGTGAAGAGGCAGCTCTAACTTGATTGGTGCACACTGCCATATTCTCATGATAAGTCATACTATTATTATTGATGACCTTTATCTATTTCTAAATTTAGCTATCTTTCAAATAAATAAAAACGTACCTGTTTGGCAAAAAAGATTTTGTCTAAGCGATCATCTGATACAATAGGCCCAGCGGGTTCTTCATAATTAACATACTTGAACAGGAAAATGAGACCATGCACTGGTCTGGAAAAAAAATAGTAATACTGTGAAGCATTATTGTATAATTAATGAAAACAGTGTAATAAATTTCAAAATTATTTATTTATTTTTTATTTAATATATTTGTACACACAGCTGTTAGAAAAAACACGACAGTAAGGATACAGAGTACAAGGGCAATTAATAAATGAAAAAAATAAATGTTATCTAAAGCGTGCCTCAATCTATTTTTGTAAAAATTAGCATAACAAAACATACACATAAATCTCTGCAAGACCTTTCTAATAATTGTTTGTGAATAGCTTTTTTTTTTATAAAATATAGTATGATAAAATTTTTGGAGTGAAATTGACTTAAACTTTTGTATTCAATAATCTCCCTGTTGCAAATCACTTGTACTGTAATAATTTATAAAATATACCAAGTGAGTAATCATAGTCTATCTTAACAACAGGTTAAGATTCTTCTTCTATGAGGTATTAGGTATGTCAGCCCTTTTTTTTCTTTTTTTCTTGCCTCTCTTAGCTGATACCCTGAGAGGCTATATCGGCGTCGCCTTAACTAGTAGGTGAGCTCACGGGGCTCAAACCTGATGACGTTGCTAACACGAACCCTAGCAAGAGCCGTGCTTCGCAGAATCTACCACCGGATCGGAAACGCGATTCATGTAACAGATGGGTGATGACATTTAGGTTGTTGATGTCTATGGGTTGCAGTAACCACTCACCCATCCACCCATCTAAATGATATACAACATACAGTTTCAGTTTGTTCACCAACTACTCATAACAATGAATAAACAAAAATTATAGTACATACTAACTAAAAGAAGCACCATTAATGAACTTTTTTTTTTTTTTTAATTAGTATCTAATGTTCTTGTTTTAGGAATCTGCTGTTTTGAGTTGGCATAGTCCATAGCTGTCGCAGAGAAACAACAAGCCAGTCTATGTTCAAAATTAAAATCTTTGATGTTGAATGTTTTACCTATCTTTAAAGTCAAAGTGTCATTTTTTTTTTTTATTAGAATGTATAAGAACATAAAGATGTATAGTTATTACAATATGTAAACTGTGAATAATCAAAATTATAAAAATACCTCAAATTTTCAAACATGCTGTCTTCAATAGTCCACAGTTCCTCAACTTGTACACCTTTGGCACCTAAGTCAAAAATTTAATAACAAAACAAATGAAAAACTGTATTTAATACTTCCATTTTATTCTTTTGAGTTTTATTGAAAATTCAAATTGAGCTCACCAAATTTGTGAATTAGCTGAGTGAAAACTCCAGGATCACTCTCTAGGAGACACCAATCCCCGGCAGAATCCATCTTTGGAGCTTTAGCCTTAGGTCTGATGAAAAAAATGTAGGACTTCATGCACTCTATCTCACAACAAGTATATTAAACAAGTAATTATTGAAAGAGGACCTAAAATATGCTAAAGTCCTCTGACAAAAACTGTGCATTTTAATAATTTAGGGAAAAATAAGCACAATTGTCCACTAATTTAATTTGCCTCAGAATTGGTAGCAAACATTAGTTTTTATCACCTAGGAATCATTGCTTGGATTAGAAAGGCTTTTTCTAAAATATCTTATTCTACTGCTCAATAGTTTGGTATATAGTGTATATAAACAGAGGACTATTTTTAGTTTAAACAATATTAATCTTATTAGACTCAATATGAACATGTACATTTTACTAAATTAAGAGAGACTAAAATGCTAGAGATTATTGATTTTATTTTGGGGACAAAGTGATTGTTTTTCAGTGAAGGTAATCCCAGGAAGATAATAATTTGTGACTTACGCTGCACTGACACTGTAGGGTTTTTGGAAACAAAAGTTATCCATGATGCCGTTATTATTCGCAACAATTAAACAAGCACTATTTCCGAGCGTCCATTACCTACGCGCGCATCGAAGATTTGGCCAGAAAATCAATACCTTTCAGACAGGCAACATACATGGATAAGGTGTGTATACAAACTGCACAGTCTATCATTTTCGAAAATAGATAAGATACAGAATTTTTAAAACATTGTTAAGCTCTCATATTTATTATAATTTTTCCAAAAGCCTACTTCTCACACTTTATCTTCTACACAAGTTAAAGAATATAGCGTATGATGAGGAATACGAATCCTCATTTAGTTACTGTATTACGTATGAGTAGTTAATGGCTATGGTAAATAGTTATGAGTATGCTAAAATTAATTTCCTAGCAATAGAATTCAACTTGCAAAACCTTTTTCGGTGCGACAGTTCTACAACAACTGAAAAAAAAAACAATTCACAAACAAGCAAAAATTCAGTTATTTAAGTAATATATTAGTGAAAAAGTATTTTTTAATAAACATTTATTTACACACCGTATATAAAAGAAACAAGGTGAATGACTGAGAACTGAGAATGAGATGAAGAGATGATACAGCACAACACAATAGTTCAAACGAATTTTGAACAGAGTGCCAATCGTGACAAATTTGTGAGTATCACATTTTTTTTTTTTTTTTAATTTTATGACCTGGTGACAGAGACCTTTAGGTCATATCTTATTTGGAAAATGTTCATTACTTTGGGGTCACTACACTTCACTTCACTAAATTTTGTCATTTAAATTGTTTGAATTGTCTTTTTTATGTAATTATAAATAGGTTTATAGGATGTTGGATCTTTTAGTAAAAAGTTAAGTGGCGGCGGGCGGGAGGAAGAGACACACTTAAATGCATTGGTATCACTAAGTTCACTAGCCAGCACAAGTCTTTGAATTAGGAAACTTTGGCAATCGAAAATAATGTGATGGATCGTCCCTTCTTCTGCTTGACAGTGTATACATTGGCTATTTGAAACAATGCCAAGTCTTGCTAGGTGTGACGGCGCAGTATTATGGCCAAATCTCAATCTGTTTATTGTTGTGATGAAATCTCGACTTTCACTAGTTTTCAATTTGTCATACCATGGTTTAACAGGCAGGTTATCTTGGATACTTCCATACCACTTTCCCTTGTTTTCCTGATCTTTCTTCCACAATTCCGTCCACAGAGTGTAAATGCTTTCTTTAATATTTAGAAAATAGTCAGTGAAAGGTACGAGTAATGAGTTTGTAACGTCAATACTGTTTATAGCCTCGCGTGCAGCTTTGTCAGCTTTTTCGTTGCCCGTTATGCCTCTATGTGAAGGAACCCACATAAATGCTATATTTACATTCTTATGATGATATTTATACAAAAGCTCTTTTATAATATACAAGACGTAATTAGCTTTATAATTTACAGATATATTACTTAAACTCTCTAGCAGGCTTAAAGAATCTGTTATTATTAAAAAGTTTTTACAGCTATTAACCACAGTAATTCGCAGTAAGGCTTGATAAACAGCATAAGCCTCTGCAGTAAAAATGGAACAAGATTCATTCAAAACAAAGCTTTGAGAAAACCTAGCCTTTGAATCATAAAATGCTGCATGCACATAATTATTCCCTTTGCTGCCATCAGTATATATAGTGTAATATGTATTTTGTGACAAGAACTGAATCATATCAGAATTGCTATTAATTGTACTTGGGATTATATTTACTGGATATGAAATGGAGTGATAACTATTAGAGTAACATGGCCAAAGGGACTGTTTACTGATCTTTTTATACTTATTATCTATTTCCAGATATATTATGGACAAAGGTGGTGTATATTTGTTAAGGGTTATTCCAGTTAATAATGAAGGAGGAGTGATGTCTAGGTATGGTGCAATTTTTTGAACTATTTGCTTATTATTAGAAGATAGTAATTTGAGACAGTATCTGTGTGCAAGTAAGAGACGTCTCAAGATTAATGGCATAACTTTTGTCTCAACTTCCATGGCCCTTATGGGAGTTGAGCACATTGCACCGGATATTATTCTCAAAGCTCTGTTCTGTAATATATCAAGTTTACTTGCATGTGGACTATTCAAATAAGCAAGAGAGCTATAATCAAAATGGCTTCTGACAATCGATTTGTATATTAAAGACAGTATTTTGGGATCTGCACCCCATGATACTCCAGCAAGACATTTCATAACATTAAGACCTCTTAAAGCATTTTTGGAAATATGATTAATATGTGATTCAAAAGTTAATTTCTGATCTATTATTATTCCCAAAAATTTTTTGCTGGTAACCTTGTTTATAATTTCACCATTATAAATGACATTATAGATTGGTGTATCCTTGCTGAATATCATTACGTTGCTCTTGGATGGATTAATTTTTAAATGTAGAATGTCATTGTAATAATAGAACAGTTGGGATAAAGCTACATTAATACTGTCTATTGCTACTTGTAAATTATAGTCACTACTATACAAAACGATGTCATCAGCAAATTGTAGAATATTTACATTATTATTTACATTATCTATAAAGTTGCAGATTTCACTAGTGTATATATTATACAATAACGGAGATAAAGTAGCACCTTGCATTGTGCCTTTCGAGGCAGATTTTGGACCATATAGCATATTATTGTATTTTACATACACTGTCCTTTCATTCAAGAAATTATATATCCATTTGCAGAGTTGTCCGGGTATTCCTAGCCCTGACATAACTTTCACAAGTATACCAGGATCTATACTGTCAAAGGCACCTTGAACATCAAGGAATATACAAACAGTATGTAAATTTTTTTCCTTCCCATGTTTCAGATCAGATATTAAAGAGATAAAACTATCAGCACAGCTTCGCCCTCGCCTAAAGCCATATTGGACATCAGGAATGATGTGATTAGCTTCAACATACCAGTCAAGACGGACTTTTAACATTGTTTCAAAAATTTTGCCAAGACATGAAGATAAAGAAATTGGTCTATATGAGCTAGCAAGTTCTGGTGCCTTGTCTGGTTTGAGTATCGGAATAACACACTGTGTTTTCCATGCCTGTGGAATATAGTTGTTAAGCCAAAGTAAATTGAGGATATCTAGAAATAATTTTTGAGCTGATTCATCCAGATTTTTAATCAATAGGTAAGGGTAGTCATCCATACCTGGTGTTGTATTGCGTCTAGATTGTAAACTTATTGTAAATTCTGACCATGTAAAGGGTTCAACCAAAAATTTTGAATTATGATTGTCATTGTTTAAATTAAAATAAATATTCAAGTTACTGGTCTGAATTAAATTACTATTGTCTGTTAAGTTATCCAAAAATGAGGGAATGAATTCATCTCTATATGACCTATTGCCAGTTTTAACACCTTTAAACATTTTAAGTAAATTCCAAATCTTACTAATGGGTGTTGTTCTACTGAAAGTATTAGTTAGATTATTCCAACCAATTTTTTTCTGCTCTGCTATTGTTCTTTTTTTCTGTGCATCCTTTCTTTTATAGTTAATATAATTCTCTATGGATGGCACATTTCTATATAATTTGAGAGCATTATAAGATGCAATGACACTTTGTTCACAAATATCATTCCACCAGGGTGTTGGCAAACGGCTTTTGAAACTATTTGATTTTGTAAGTTTAGGAATTGTCATAGTTTTTAATGTATCCAAACAAGAACAGAAAGCACTATAAGTTAATATAGGGTCATTTGAATTTAGGATAAAATTATTGAAAACTGTTCTGGAAAGAGTGTTGTATTTAGTCCAATCTGCCTTATTATATAAAAATCTGTCTACTGGCGAACCAATGTGATATTTATCAATAGTTAAGGATATTTCTGTTATTGTAGGGTAATGATAACTTCCCATGGCATCGTGATGGACAGACCACTCACACATAGATGCAAGACTAGCACTGACGAAGCTAACATCAATAGCAGAAGGATTTCGTCTAGGATAGTTGACAGTTGTAAATCTACCATCATTCAAAATGCATAAATCTAAGTCGTCAATAATATTAAATAAGCTGTGACCTCGACTCTTACTAGATAAACAACCAAAAGCTATATGATGAGCATTAAAGTCACCACTTACAAATATTGGTTTTGGAAGATTATAAATTATACTCTGTAATCTATTTAGTCTGATATGACGACTAGTAGGTGGACAATAAACACAAAGAACAGTCAAACTACCACTTACTGTTGATAAAGACAGAGCAGCAGTTTGAATGTCCTCATAGAATCTAGTGTTAATAATATTGTATTTGAGGTATGGTTTAATTAATATTGCCACACCATTATGACTATTGTTTGAATTTCTGTTATAAATATTGTAACCTGGTATTTTAAATTTGTTATCTTTGAACCAGGTTTCATTAAGTAGACATATATCAATGTTTTGTTGTTTCAAGAATTGAATGAGCAAGGGTTTTTTACTATTGGCACTTTGAATATTATACTGAGCAATACGTATCTTAGACTGTGTAGGACCTAGATCCATTATTTTAGATTTTTAATTAAGATATCCTTAATTGTTTTCACTGTAGTAGGTGAATTATCACCCTTATTGCCTAGCTCCACCAATGTCTGTACAAGGGCCATAAGTACATCATTGTTGGAGACAATTTGATTTTTAATATTTTCTAAAGGCAATAAATCTTGTTGTTTATTTACATTATCTACATGTGTATTTACAGGCTTATTTACAGAATTATATAGAGGCTTATTTACAGAGTTATATACAGATTTATTTACAGTATTATATACAGGTGTTTTTGATGTTGGAAGTGGAGGAAAGTCATTGTTATTTACTTGCTTGGTTGAGGTAGCACTTGCATAAGTAATTTTAGATTTTTTTTCCATAATTTTCTTTATTTTAATTGGACATACTTTTGAAATGGCAAGATGAGGTCCGCTGCAATTTGTACAACAAATTTCAGTGGGCTTGTCACATTCCTTATATAAGTGCTCACCTCCACAAATAGAACATTTTTGTTTACTGTTACATATTTTAGCTGAGTGGTTAAACTTGAAACATTTGAAACATTGTTGCAATGGTGGTATATATTCAAAAACTCTATAAGAGAATAAGTCGTATTGAACATTGTCTGGTAGAATATTAGATAAGAAAGTAATGCTTACAGTTTGTAAAGGAACATGCTCATGTCCTACTTTCTTTGTGAATCTTCTGATAGCAATAATTTCATATATTGACGATAGCCTACTGTACAACTCTTTATTAGAAATGTTAGCTGGAACGAATCTTATTATTCCAGTCTTTTCAATCTGCGCAGCAGGAATGAAAGCTCTCATGTCATATTTTTCTAAGAAAGACGAATTCTTAATAAAGTTATTTGCTGTGTTATATTGTTTAAAAATAACTGCTATTTTATTGGCATTCACTCTTTGAATTGCCGTCACACCTTTAATTTCCGTTGCAAAAACGTGGTTTAAGTAAATAGGGCTCTTGTTGCCCAGTCTGTCCTTATTGGTTGCTTCGACAAATACTTTAAACTCAGTATTAGCAGAGTTCTCCGGATAAAGTCTTTTATAGTTAGGTTTAAAAAAAGGCAAGTAAGAGTCATTACGCTCACCGCCTCCGCCAACGCCAAAGTCCACCTTGGGGTCACCACCACGATCCTCAACGCGAGGACGTTTATTTGAGGTGGGCGGGTTATCCCCGCCCCCCTCGTTACCCTCCATTTCTAAGGGTCACCACTAATAAATTCCACTATTTATACTTAGTATTTTTATGAAAAAATAGCAAAATTGAAATAAAAATGAAAAAATTTTCAAATTGTACGCGCGCTCTTTTTGGAGTTCCCGCCAAAAAAAAAACGTGAGTATCACACGAAATAAGTAAACATAGGTAATAGGTAATTACCTGAGGCTACTCTGTGACAATTGTTTCCGTTATTCAACTTTTGACTTTTTGGTGGGAGCGCGAGGAGTGAAGTTGTGTGATTTGTTTCATTTTGTCTATTTGGTGTTTCTTCAGGTTTAAATGCGTAATAACGGTGGTTTATTAACTGTTTAATGTAAAAGGGCACAAATGTGAGAAAATGAAACAAAGCCGCTGGACGTAACTTCTCAGGATCCTCCAAAAAGTCCACTGAAAAAATCTCAGTAAATGATCATCATTTTACTGAGATTATATTTCATCCCATATCATCTATCACATTTCATTTAATTTCATCCCAGTTGATTAATGTCTCAAATATAAGAATATAAATTCAAATAAGACTTGACTTAAAGGTCTTAGTTACCAGGTCGAAAATCTCATAGAATAAAAATTTCTCAACTTTACTTCCATGATGTACATAAGTAATTATTTTATGAAATAAACTATATTTGCTTTTATGTTACAAATTATTAGTTTCAGTGGCATATTATTATATGGTGTAGAAGTATGTGCGGCGATCTGAGATGAATTTATTTGAATTTTTTCTGGTGTTTTATTGGTAGTTTTCCAATTATAGAGCATAATGCGGCTCAGGCTCAATGAATTTGGCTCCCCTTTTCTTAATTTTCGGATTTTTTTATTATTTTTAATTATTTGTTCGTCGTTTGTTCCTTGATGTTCGAATGTAAAAACTGTTTGTTCGTCTTTTATTTATTTATAATTAATTAAACAAATGATCACCCTTAAGTTTCCCCCCTTACTATATATCTTTATTTTTATCGCTTTGATTAAATAATTTTGATCAATTATCGTTTGCCCGTCAACTATTGGTGATTGCTCGATCATAAAAACACTTCAATTCCCAATTATTCATTATTTTATATCTAACTAGCTGACCCAGCAGACTTCGTAGTGCCTCAATCGATAAATAAAAGACCTAAACTTTTGTATAAAATAAACTTAAAACAAACAAAAGGAATCCGTCCGACGCGGAACACATAAAAGGAAAAATATTGTGTTGTTTTTATTTAATTCCGAGTATTTTAATAATTCAAGACCAAAATTAGACAAATCGGTCCAGCCTTTCTCGAGTTTTAGCGAGACTAACGAACGGCAATTCATTTTTATATATAGATATAAGCAAACCATCACCTGACGCCTACATTGCGCATGCGCCGGTTTTGCCATTCAGCTGGCAATGGCCGTATTTACTATGATTTACTAGCGTTTTGTTAACAAGTGCGTTTATACTGTCTAATTATTTCTTAGGTAGATCCAAAAAATATTGAAAACTTCAACAAACTTCAACAATACTTCAACAAAAAAATGTCACTGAAGACGGCCAATTAGTCGTTAAAGTACGATTAGCGCGGTTTTAATAAATTCAGTTATTTTTAATGATATTGAATATTAACAAACAGAAATTTCAGTGATTTCTAATTATTTTAAGAATATTTTAGGAGTACAACTTTCGTGTTAAAATAATACTATTTATTACCATGCAATAGGAGATAGTTATGATACTTGTATCTAATATATAAAATTCTCGTGTCACAGTTTTCGTTGCCATACTCCTCCGAAACGGCTTGCCCGATTTTGATGAAATTTTTTGTGCTTATCCGGTATCTATGAGAATCTGCCAACATCTATTTTTCATCCCCCTAAATGTTAGGGGTAGTCCTCCCCTAAATTTTTTTTTTTAATTTTTAAACAAAATTTTTAATTTCTATTTTTTTATGATACAACATACAAAAATACATACAACCCTAAATTTTCACCCCTCTACGATCAACCCTTATTTTTTATTTGCTAATTAAAAACATTTTTTTGCAAGAATTTTGTTTTTATTTTGTCATGACTTAGAATAAAAAATTTCATATTGCTCTGAAATTTTCACCCCTCTACGGTCAACCCCTATTTTTTATTTGTTAATTATACATTTTAAATTTTTTCGAAAGATTTTATTTTTTATTTTGTCATGACTTAAAATAAAAAAAATATATATTACTCTCAATTTTCACTCTTATACGATCAACCCCTATTTTTCCACTCCGATTTTTATTTTATTTTTCTATGCACAGATCCGCAATAAGGTTGCAAGATGGCAATCAAATATTATAATTGTAGTACGATAAATTCTTATTCAGAGTTTATAATTTCAAGTTCCTTTAATTATGTTTTTTTTAAATTCAATTTGATCTCCTGCCCTCGCCGGTCGACTACTGATCAACTATCAATCGATCAGCTATCCCCGCCAGGTGTCACCATTCATCCAGCAAACATCACGTAGTAGGGATGAGGACGAAGCCTGTCCGTCCTGTCTTACTCACTATACATTTTTCAGCCATGTTTCTTTGGTTTTATTTGTGTATCAATCGTAGCTTGCCAGCCATGTTTTTTTGGTTTTATTTGTGTATCAATAGTATGTTCAGTAGGTCTGAGAATCGGCTACTATCTATATTTCATACCCCTAAGTGATAAGGGTTGTCCACCCCAAACATAATTTTGTTTGATAATTTTTTTTTGGTTATATTGAGGTATAGTCCCCGGCACGTAACTTGGCAAGAGTCGCTAGATGCGCAGAAGTCGTTTTTTAGGTCTCTTTGGTTGTCAAGCGGGACGCGGGGAAAGACGTAGCACCGTTCCGAGCGCGCGATTAGTGAGTCAGTCGACCCTCCCCTCCCGCACCGCGTCCACGTTCCGTTCGCTCCCGGTTACACATGCGCCTACTAAAGTTGTAGGAACCCTTTGTTTATATTGAGTTTTTGTTACGAGTTGTTATTATTGTTTTAAATTTAGTTTTTGTTACGAGTGTTATTGTTTTAAATTAGTTTGCAATGGCAGGACCAAATACCAATGACCATAATTATAGTCGATTCAGTCACCGAGCGTTTTATTATTTACGCCAGTGACGACAGCGACTCTTCGTTATGTTGACGATGAGGAGCCAACTCCTTCCACCAGCTCAGGTGCTACCATAAATTTAATCCAAGGGGTAGCACTATTAGAAAATGATAGTGACGACGGCGACACATAATTTTTAATATTAAGTATATATTTTTTAATAAACTTTTTAACTTTTAATTGTATTTTATTTATAACACCTAACACACTTCACGAATTCCTCTCTTTTCTTTAACTTTCTTCCAAGCACACAGGCTTAAAAATAAATTATAGCGAATAAAAAATATAATAAAATAAAATTAACACATATGCGGGCAATAAAAGTGACCATTTTTTGGTTGCAATGTACACTATACGCGACATTACCCCCACTACACCAAAACCTTGCCAACTTACGTGCCGCTTACTATATTACGTGGTTGAATGAGGTTTTTGAGAATTTTATATATTAGACTAGAATTTCCCTAGAAATCTTATTTAAGGCAACACAACGTTTGCCGGGTCAGCTAGTTTTATAATAAAATTAATAATTCCTAAATTCATTACGTAGTTCGAAAAATGTAAATGTAATGCACACAAAATCTGTTTTTGTTAAAATGATAATTATTTATAAGTTCAAGAAATATATTGCAGGGACATTTAGTAGAAATTTATTTAATATGGAAGAATAAACTTAGTATATTTAAGCTCTATAAACAGGATTTTAATAAAAAAATATATATATTTACGTCTATATTAGGTAGGCAGCGGCTTGGCTCTACCCCTGGAATTGCTGAAGTCCGTGGGTGACGGTAACCACTCACCATCAGGTGGGCCGTATGATCGTCTGCCTACGAGGGCAATAAAAAAAAATATTAACTTGATTATTAATATCGAGAAGTATCTTGATTGATCAGATTACAAGGCTTCGTTTTTTTTTTAATTTAACTGTTTTTATGATCGATCAATCACCAATAGTCGACGAACAAACGATAATTGATCAAAATTAATTAATCAAAGCGATAAAAATAAAGATATCTAGTAAGGGGGGGGGGGGTAACTTAAGGGTGATCATTTGTTTAATTAATTATAAATAAATAAAAGACGAACAAACGACGGACAAATAATTAAAAATAAAAAAAAACCGAAAAACAAAAAAGGGGGCCAAATTCACTGAGCCTGCGACCCAGTGGCACACAATGCCGAATTATGCTGAAGCTTAGTGAAGCAGAGTGCGCTAAGTGCAGTGTTGAAAAAAATATATTCATGGAGCTAGCAACCTCATTAATATATAAATAATGTGGTAAACAATAATACATAAATGGTTGAAAACTATTTACGGTTATTTTAAGTAACTTGGATTTTGATTATTTCATCAACATTTTTTTACGTTTTGAGTAATTTTTTTAAATGAGTTCTAAGAACATTATACCTATACTTTTTAATTGAATCATCTTATCCAGATGATAGGATGACGATGGTTTATTGAGTGCTCAGAGTTTAAATCAATCAATTATTTCATTATCAACGACGAGCTCACGGCCCCCTATGGTATTAAGTGTAACAAAGTTAATACCTGA